AATAGTTTTCATTTTAGTTTTTCTGTTTCACTGTGAGTTTTACCCAACCCTATCACTTGTTTTCAGGCATTTTCTTTTTTCTACAGGAGCACTAACCAAGGAGTTTAATACATGCATATCAGGGGTTGTAACAGCTACCAGGAGATATGTTATTTTGCCGTTAGAAGCTTAGAGAAGTACAGAAAAGGGAGTGAGCTTAGGCTGTGTGGCTAGAGTGGTAGTGGTGGAGAGGGCTTCATTTTTTTTTGATTCCATGTTCCATGGTCTGCACCACTTCCTCCTCTATATACCTCCCAGAACCTAGAGAGTTCCTGGGCTTGGGAGCATCTTTTTTTTTGTCCTCACACGTTCTGCCATGTAGCTATTCGTGCTTTTGGTTACTTCTATGGCCAGCAACTCTTTCTCCCATGGGACTGAGAAGCTTACTAATTCGGATGCCTATATCCAGCAGAGGTATAACATATCAAAATTTATGCGATGCAGCTAAAGTAATATTAAGTGAAAATTTACAGCTTTAAACACCCATATCTGAAATAAATTCCTCAAATCAATAACCTATGCTTCCACTTTTAGACAATAGAGGAGAGCAAACTAAATGCAAAGCAAGTAGAAAAAAATGAGTAATGAAGATTATAACAAAAATCAATGAAACATAAAGCAAAAACACTAAAGAAGATCAATGAAACAAAAGCTGATTCTTTGCGAAGATCAGTAAAATTGACAGACTTTAACCTAACCATGAAAGATGACACAAATTACTTAAATTAGAAGTGAAAGTAGAGACATAACTATTGAGCATATAGAATCTTTATTCTTTTTTCCTGTTTCTTTTTCTTCTTTTATAGAGACAGGATCTTGCTCTGTTGCCCTGGCTGGAGTGCAGTTGGCACAGTTATAGCTCACTGCAGCCTCAGACTCCTGGGCTCAAGCCATTCTCCCATTTCAGCCTCCTGAGTAGCTGGGACTACAGGCACATGCCACCATGTCTGGCTAATATTTTGATTTTTTTTTTTTTTGGTAGAGATAAGGTCTTCCTATGTTGCTCAAGCTGGCCTCGAACTCGGGCTCAAGTGATCCTCCCGCCTCAGTCTTCTAAAGTGCTGGGATTACAGGTGTGAACCACCAAGCCCAGCCTGAGCCTACAGAAATTAAAAGGAGTAGAAAGGAACATCATGGACAACTTCATGCCAACAAATTAGATACTTAAGTGATATGGACAAATTCTTAGAAAAACAGAATTGCCAAAACTGGCTCAAGAAGAAATTGAAAATCTGAATAGACCTATAACGCATAAAGAAAATGAATTATTAATTTAAAAATCTTTCCTTAAAGAACAGCCCAGACCCATTTGTCTTTACTAGTTAATGCAATAAAATATTTAAACTAGAAATGATATAAATCTTTCACCTACTCATCCAGAAAATTGGAGGGGAGAAAACACTTGCAACTCATTTTATAAGGTCAGTCACCCCAGTACCATTGCCAGACAAAGACACCACAGGAAAACTCACAAGAAAAACGCATAGGCCAGTTTCCCTCCTGAACACAGACACAATTTTTTAAAATAAAATTTAGGAAACCAAATTCAGCAGCATATAAAAAGGATTTATAAAATGTTCATGTGGGTTTTATCACTAGGATGCCGGTTAATTTAAATCTGAAGATCAATTTATGTTGTGCACCAGTATTTATAAAGGAGAAAAACCTTACTGTCATTTCTTAAAAAAAGCATTTGAGAAAATTTAACACACATTCATGCTTAAAAACTCTCAACTAACTTTCAACTAAAGAAATTTCCACAAATTGACAAAAATCATCTACCAAAAAGCTCCCAATATGGACATCATACTTAAAGTTGAAAGACTGAATACTTTTCCCCAAAGTTTAGGACGGTAAAAATGTCTTCCCATTTTTACCACTTCTATTCAGCATTACATTGGAGATGTTAGCTTGTACAACAAGGAAGAAAGAGAGGAAGGAAGGGAGAAATTGAAGATATCTGTACTGGAAATGAAGAAAAAAAGTAGCCCTCTTTACAGATCACAGAAGTGTAGATTTGTACAATGAAAAGTATAAAACATTTTTAAGAGAAATTAAAAATAGACCTTAATAAATGGAGACATTCCATGTTCATGGATCAGAAGACTCAATATAATTAATAGGGTAGTTTCCCCTAGATCTATAAAATCAATACAATCCCTATCAAATTCCTAGTAGACTTTTTTGGAGAAATTGGGAAGTTGAAATGAATGGACCTAGAATAGCCTAAACAATTTTGAAATATAAGAACAAAATTGGAAGACATACCTTGATTTCAAAACTTACTCTAGAGCCACAGTTATCAAGATACTGAGGGAATTCACCATTCCTCATTTTCATTGTACTCAGTCCTCAATTGTGGTAATTGTACAAAGATAGGCATATAAATTAAAGGAAGAGAACTGACAATACAGAAATAAATCCTTGCATTTGTGGTCAATTGTTTTGCAGCATAGGTGCCAACACAATTCAGTGAGGAAAAGATAGGCTTTAAACAATTTGTGGAGAAAATTGGATGTTTACATACAAGAAAATTTTGATGCTTACCACATATCAGTCAAAAAAATTAACTCAAAATATATTATAGGCCTATTTGTGAGAAGTAAAACTATAAAATATCTGAAAGAAAACATAGGAGAAAAACTTTCTAATGTTGGGAAAGGCAAAGAGTTCTCAGATGTAACACTAAAAGCATAATCCACAAAAGAAAAAATTGAGAAATTAGACTCAACCAAAATGTAAAACTTTTGTGTTTCAAAATTGATCACTAAGTAAATGAAGAGATAAGCCACAGACTGATAAAACATTTATATATCATGTGTCTGACAAAGCACTTTTTATTAGTCTGCATTCTCCAGAAAAAGAAAACCAATAGGATATGTATGGATATATAAGAGATTTATTATGGGAATTGGCTTATATGACCATGGAGGCTGAGAAATTCCACGATACACCATCTACAGCTGGAGACCCAGGAAAGCCAGTGGTGTAATTCAATCCTAATTTGAAGGCCAGGGGAGCCCATGACTGAGCCCAAGGCTTGAAGGTCTGAGGAGAGAGGGATGGGGGAAGAATTGAAGGATAGAGAACCAAGAGCTCCTACTGTCCAAGAGGAGGAGAATATAGATTCCCACCTTGAGAAGAGGGAATTCACCCTTTCTCCTTCTCGTTTTATTCAGTCCTCAATCGACTGGATGATGCTCACCACACTGGAGAGAGCAGTCTGCATTACTAAGCCCACTGGTTCAAGTACTAATCTCTCTGGAAATGCTATCACAGATATACCCAGAAATCGTGTTTTACCAGCTCTCTAAGGTCATTTAATCCAGTCAAGCTGACACATAAAATTAACTATCACAGACTTGTATTCAGAATGTATATAGAATTCTAACAACTCAATGATAAAATACAAACAGCTCAGTAAATGAGTAAAAGATTTGATTAGTCATTTCACCAAAGAAGATGTACAAATGACCAATCAGCAAGTGAAAAGATGCTTAACAACATACATTAAAAATACTGTTTTACACTAACTAGAATGGTCATAATCAAAATACAAGAGCGAGTATTGGTGAGGATGTGGCGATGAATTTATACATTGTTAATTGGAACATATAGTGGTATAGCCACCTTGGAAAACAATTTGGTGGTTTCTCAAAAAATTAAAGATAAACTCAACATACAACCTAGCAATTCCACTCCTAGGAATCTACCTAAAAGAAATGAAAATGTATTTTCATATGAAGGTATATACATGAATATTTATGGTAGCATTGTTTATAATAGCAAAAACTGTTAAATGTCCATATACTAGACAAAATGTGCTGTATTCTTTATACAGTGGGATACTAGTCAGCAATAAAAAGGAATGAACTATGGATACATGCTACCATATTGGTAAACCTCAAAGACATTATGTTTAGTGAAAGAAACCTGACTCAAAAGACTACATACTAATATATAATTCCGTTGATCCAAAATGTCTAGAAAAGGTGGGTTTACTAGAGACACGGAGTAGATTGCTAGTTGCCTGTAGGTGGGGATAGGAATGAAGATTTTCTGTAAATAGGTACAAGGCACATTTTTGTGGTGATGAAAATGTTCTACACTTGATTTTAGCCAAAATGCCGAGAAGAGATGAAGAAAATGTTCTAAAGTGAATTGTGATAATTGCACAACTCTCAAATTTTTTTTAAAAAAAATGCTAAATTATACAAATTGGATGAATTTTATGGCATGTAAATTATACTTCAGTGAACCTTTTACAAAATAATTACCTTGTTTGTGGTAGAAAGAACTGTGTCAGCATATTTCTCTGAGATTCTAGGCTTTGAATGTAATAATTAATTCTGCCATCTGTTTCCCACTGCTTTTTGTATTGATCAGTTCTATTCACTGATGTTTACATTTCATTATGAGGCCACAGGAAAATTTGTCTTCTATTAAGCTATATTTAAAAAATTTCTCTTTACCCCATGAGCAGACGCCTAAATAGTTTAGAATCTCTCTTCTCTTTGATACAAAGTATATGCAAATATATTTAAATTTATAATGTAAAAATGTATTCTCTTTAAGATAACTATTACAATAAAGACATGTGAATATAATTTTATATGCACTTCCCAGCTACTATAATTTCTTTTTATATCAGTAAAGCAGTGAATTATTAATTATACTGTTATTAATCAACTTTTATTGAACCTGTACTTTATAATGGCACTGTAATGACAGCTTACCTGAATGAATAGAACATGTATAATAGATCTGTGGCTAGTCTACATCTTTTGTTCAACCATGAATTGTAGATTGAAACCTCTCTAGTATTCATTAGTCTAACATGAGTAGAACTTTTCAGAATTATAGATATTATTATGAATGAATAAGCACAGATAATTCATGATGTATTATTGTGATATAATTAATCTTAAGATGGAGTCCACATTGAATTCTTTTTCTTGCAGACGTATTTCATTAGCTAGTCCACGTCAGCTTTTTAAGGCTTCTAACATGACCCAGCGATGGCAACACAGAGAGATTTCTAATTTTGAGTACTTGATGTTTCTCAACACGATAGCAGGTAACTTAATTCCATGCATTGATTATTTTAGACAATAAATTATTGATTTCAGTTGTTAGATTATTTTGAGTAATGGTATAACTAGCTTGTTCTATTGCCATTATTGCTACTAGAATATTACAAAGGGTATACAAAGAGAATAAGGTATGTTGCTTACTCTCATAGAAGTCATTTTAAGTACAAATGTGAATATTTATGTGATTCTAGAACGGGATATATCAGTAAAATATTCAAGGTACTGTGGTGATTAAAAGGACAGAGAGAGAGGGAAATTATATGCACCCAGTTGGTGGGAGTAAGGAGAAAATAAGGTTTCAGTGGTTTTATAAGGATGGATACTATTTGACTAGCAGAGGAAGTGGTTGGAATGTTAGAAGTCATTCCATGTAATACTGAAAGCATAAGCAAACATACAAAGATGGGAATACATAAAGTGTACCTAGAGAGCAATGAATGGTATAGTTTGTATATCTATGTATATACTGTATATTTACGTGTGCATGAAGTATATATTCGTAAAGATATAATGGGAAAAAATAAGAATGTTAGTGTGAAGAACGATTTTCTTGTCACTTTGAAGAGTTAGCAGTCAGTTCATTGGGAAACTTTTGAAAGTTTTTGAGCACCTAAGTGATATTAGAGCTGCATCAAAAATTAACTTGGAGGCAGTGTATGTAAGATAAATTTGGGTGGATAGAGACTAGGCAGAAAGTAAAGTTAGGAAGTAATTCTGTGTGTGTGTGTGTGTAGTAATGAGGGCTTCCATTAGGTATCAGTGGGAATTAAAAAGAAGAAACAAATTCTGTAAGAATTCACAAGGCACCAGCCATTTGATATGCAGCTGAATGAATGTAGGTGATAAATGAGAAGAAAGTATCTGAAAAGATTTCCAGGCTTCTGGCCTGCGTTACTGGGAAAATGGTGGAGCAATTAATGGAAAAAGAAGTCAGAAAATTTCATCTAGGGAAAGATGATGATTTTGTTGTACCAGCAAGACTTTCAAGTTAAGGTATCAGAAAGAGTTTTTGGAAGTATAGGGCAAGGAGGATATTCAGAACTAGGACATTGTTGAATTTCATCTGCATAGAGAGGAAATCACCGAGAGATGTGAGATCAGCAAGGAAGATAATACAGAAAGCAGTGAGATAAGACAGGGAAATTCTTTTGCGTATGAGAAGAAGAAAGAAGGAAAGTCAGTAAAGGACAAAAAGAAATGAGTGATCCTAGAATTTGTAGATATAGTAGGAGAACTGAGGTAAGTCAGATGTTTTGGGAGGCAAGGTAAAAGAGGGAGGAAGGAATTTTCACCTGTGTCAAATGTTACAGAATGGAGAGGGAGACTTCAGAATGAGGATAGAACTTGTCTTTGGGTTTAGTATTTAGAGGCTTCCTTATTACTTCATAGAGGTTCATGTTTAAGGCCAGCAAAAATGGTTGATTATAAGGGCTGAATAGTTTGAAATGAAATAGTAACTGTAGATGTAATTACAGATCTTTTTTTTTTTTTTTTTTTTTTTGAGACGGAGTTTCTCTCCTCTTCCCCAGGCTGGAGTGCAATGGCACGATCTCAGCTCACTGCAACTTCTGCCTCCCAGGTTCAAGAGGTTCTCCTGCCTCAGCCTTGCAAGTAGCTGGGATTATAGGCTCCTGCCACCCCACCCGGCTAATTTTTGTATGTTTGGTAGAGACGGGGTTTGACCATGTTGGCCAGGCTGGTCTTAAACTCCTGACCTCAGGTTATCTGCCTGCCTTGGCCTCCCAAAGTGCTGGGATTACAGGCATGAGCCACCATGCCCGGCCAATTATGGTTCTTTTAAATGTGTTGTTAACAGAGGATGGGTTGGGGCAGAGAGGAAAAATGATGAAAGAGGAGGAGAGAGGAAGAGTAACAGTTCAAGTTATGAGGGAAACAGGTTCGAGAGCTCAGGTGAAGCAATTACTCTTAGCAAAGAAAAGACCCTGTTAGAGAAATGGGAAAGAGTGAGGGGATGTTGCAAAGAATTAGAAGTTGAGGGGCTCACATTGAAAGTTCTAAATTTTATTAGAAGTTTATCTCACAGTCAGCTGAGGAAAAGGCATGAAGAAAATCAATGGTTATGTTGAATTTAGTAGAAATTACAGAACTAGTGACTAAGAGAATTTTTAAGTAGTAGCGAGAGGAAACTTATGTAACAAGTTTAATGGATGTATTTTGCATGTAGTAAATCAATTAACCCATATTGAATGCACAGTTATGATTATGGAGCAACATTTATGAAATGATCTGTTCTCAAATAGCTTTTATTGTGCCTGTGGTGTCTTTTAAGTATATTCCCTGTACATTTTTTATAAATACAGAATCGATCATTTGCTTTAGATTTTTTAAATGTGCATTAGAGGGTGGAGTTAAGTCTCACTTAAGATTTCTTTTACTTTATTTTCTGTGCCGCATATAGATTCTCATGATATCATGATGCATTTCCCAAATGGCCATCAGTTCATATTTAATAACTGTGTATTGAGTTTAGCTTAATTAAAAGTCTAATTACACTGAGCAGGTACATACGCTTCATTTTTTAGGTACAAAAAAAATTATTTCTGATTATTTAAATAGATGGGACAAGATGATTTTACTGTTTACCAACATTTAAATCAGAAGGAGAAGGAAATGGGGGAGCAAAAGGGAATCATACATTTTTTTTCTGCTGCTATGTTTTGTTATTTTTTTATGGAGAAATTAAAATTATTGATAGAAATATGTAGTGACATTAATGACCTATGAATTAAAAATGTCATTGTTTTAATGTTTTATAAGACTGTTTCGGGTCAGTCAAAAATGAACTCTGGTACCCTAATAGGCCTCAAGCCTAAGATGAATAGAGTAAAATAAAAAGTTAAAAACATCAGACCATAAAAAAGGCTTAGATACCAAGAGTATATGCAGAGAACTACTTTAATATTCAGGTATGTATTGATATGACATCAGTATATATTTGAGAAAGAAAAAGGAATGGAAATGATAGAATATATAATAAGAAAGGAATTCAAACAATATTAATATACTTGTCTCTCTTATATTTTTTCCATAAAAGTCTGTTCATGTTAAATCTAACTAAAAATAGGCATAGACTAGTAAATAGGAGCTGGGATTCAAACACCAGCATTTTGATTCCAGAAACAATGATCTCATCCACTATGCTACCTAAAAGGTAATATCCAAGGTAATATCCTAAAAAGGTAATATCCAAAAATCCGCTGTACGTATGTAGAAGGACTACCTCCTCTTTTGCTGTAATTTGTATTTTTAATAAATCTAAATAGGTCATTGAATGTCATTAGAAAGAGGTATAGAGGAGCATGTAGCCGCATTTGGGCATGTAAGGAAGCAACATTGATAATACTGCATGTTATTTTCAGAGGATTATAGGATTTGAAAACTACCACAGAAATTTCAGAGTTATTTAGTGCAATGCCCTTGTTTTACAGATGACCGGTGAATGTCCACCAGGGTTAAGTCATTTAAACTTGATTGCTTAGTTGGTTGGTTGATTATTAATGGTAGAGAAAGGATTCTTGTTTTGAAAAACTGTGAGAATTACAAATAGCTTTTTAAAGTCTTAAAAAAGAGTATTTTATTTGGGGCAGGCTTTCAAGTGATTAAAAAATGTCGAATGTAGTTTAAAAGAACACAAACTTAGGACCAGAAAATCTGAATTTGAATATGGTTTGACCATTACTAGTTGTGTGATTTGGGGCAAGTTACCTAACCTTTTGTGACTCAATTTTTTCATCTGTGAAATGGAGATGATATAATTTCGTAGGATTGTTGTGAGGATTAAATGAGATAAAGTATGGATACTGAGAATGATATCTGGCAATCAAAAATTGTTAATCTTATTTTTAGGAAATTATATTACTGAATTGGTTTATTTCATTTTTAAAATTATAAATTACAAGTAACTTTTTTCCCTATCAGGCCGGAGTTATAATGACTTAAATCAGTATCCAGTGTTTCCTTGGGTCATCACTAATTATGAATCAGAAGAACTGGATCTTACCTTGCCCACCAACTTCAGAGATTTGTCCAAGGTAATTTCTCAGTAATCATGTGAAATATAATTGTCTGGCATATAAAAATAAATTGGATTGATTTCAGTTATTTTACTTAACTTAAAAACTTTTTTCAAATATAGCCGTACCTTTAATATAATTATCTCTTAAATATATTTTCATTATTTTCAAATGGAAAAATTTAATGTGCATGATAAACACTACTTCTCTTTTGTGATGTTAGCACTGATATTCAGTGCATGGATTCATTAATTTAGTAAGCATTGCAAATCTGTAGTATTTAAAATATCACTTTTATTTCACTTATTTATGGGACTCATTCTATAAGGAGGCATTTCCTCTCTTCTACTACTAGAGTATCCAGTGGTACATTGCAGAGAAAAGACAGGATAGAAGTTTAATTCTTACTCTTTTCTGTTAATTTACATAACAGTTTTCAAAATATTGAGTTGATTCCTAGCATTCTGCAGTGGTACCCAACTGACTATTAAAAAAGTATCTTTATGAACTCATAGATTTAAATGCATTTGATGTTTCAATCCATTGCAGTTATTTACTGATATTCAGTTGTTCTTTCTTTGACCACTGGGAGCTTCTTGAAGTTATTTCTGTGACATTTTGACACATGTTTACAGTCTCTGATAACTTTCATGATCTCTGGTATGGTAAGGCACTCTAGTCTTAACCCTTACATTTTCTGGCCCAGATATAGGATCTTCTATTTCTTTGAGGAGCCCGGGTGGGACCTCTTCTAGTGGGAATTAATATCTGGAGATCACAGTTTTGTCTGTTCTGCTTATTGCTACTGAATTTGTCATTATTTCTATCCCTTTTTTAGAGAGTGCTAGGAAAAAATTTAGGATGAAATACATGGGTTCAAACTGATTCCTCCAATTTATATTCAGAGTTGTATTTCCTTTAATATCTGAGTACAAAGTCTCTACCCTCATTTAGGTTAGCAGAACATCCAGTCTTTTTCCTACAGCTTCTTTCCTTAGTAATTTCTAGGAACAGCTAACAAATGTTTATGTCTTCTACTTCTTTGGCCTGGAGACTCTTTGTTGCTTCTTCCCTGTCTGTACCCTGACCCCGTATTAGTCCTTCATTCCTGTAGGTCACTCTTACATTCTCACAACAGCAGATTTCTTGCTATTAGTACTAACTTTTTTCCAGGGTATACACAGTTCTTTCCCTTAACTCTTCTAAATCCGTCTTAGGCCACAGGTGTTTATATAAAGCTCCACTGAATACCCAATCGTAGCAGAAATACAGGGCTCTCAGTGATTCACAGTCTCGGTCAGAGGATCATTGCCCAGTGTCTGCAGATCCCAGCATGAGAAGTGCAAGTTCACTCAACATATCCAGTTTCCATTACTTAGAGCCCAGGGACTCTAAGAGTGTGTTCTTTTATTTACTCATTCCAGGAAGATGTTCAGGAGCAATTCCTACTCTCTGTCCACAGGATAGGATCTTCTTCACACAGTCCAGACAATCACGATAGTTACCAGTGATGTCAAAATGAAGGTTAACATTTTCTTCATGCCAAACAATAGTGTTTAGGATCTAGCCATTGTCTGTTTTATTACCACATCTTCTGTCTCTGTCCCCATCTTTGCGGTGTCATCTGATCTTGTAATGCCTCATGTTTACCTCTTGTTCTTTTGCTGTTATTCTTCTCTTTATCTAGAGATTTGAACTCCCAGGGTACTTTCCATATACTTGTTATCATACATTTCATAATCTATTATAATTTTAACATTTTTTTCTCTGTGCTCCCTATCAGGCAAAATCATTGAATACAAAGATTTTGTTTTGTTAATTTCTGTATCTCTTGTGTCTAGTATAGTGCTTAGAGCTAAGAAATTGTACCAGTTGCTATATCTACTTATTGAACTCTAAAAGGGAGTTTTAATTTTCAGAGGAAAGCCTTATTTGTGGATCACTTGTCTAACAAGGGATTAATATCAAGAATATATAGAGACTCCTAAAACTCAACAACATTCAAAAATGGGTGAAGAACCCGATAGACATTTCTCCAAAGAGGATATACAAGTGGCCAATGAGATAAAATGAACATCACTAATTATCAGGAAATGTAAATCAAAATCACAGTAAGATACCACTTCATAACCATTAGGAAGATTGTTAATGAAAACAAACCCAGAAAATCACAAGTATTGACACGGATTTGGAAAATTGGGACCCTTGTGCATGCTGGTACGAATGTATGATAGTGCAGCTTATATGTCAAACGGTATGGTAGTTTCTCAAAAACTTAAAAAGAATTGAAAGTAGGGATAAGAACAGATAATTTTACACCCATGTTCATATTTGTAGCAGCGTGACACATGACAGCCAAGAAATAGAAACAACCCAGATGTCCATCAACAGAAAAATGGATAAACAAAACATGACATATACATACAATGTAATATTATTCAGCCTTAAAAAGGAAGGAAGCTCTGACATATGCTACAACATGAATAGCCCTTGAGGATGTTATGCTAAGTGACATAAGCCAGTCACAAAAGAGCAAATACTGTATGATTCCATTCATATGAGGTACTTAGAGTAGTGAAATTTATAGAGATAAAAAGCAGAATACTGGTTGCCAGGGCCTGGGGTGAGGGAGAGAATGAGGAGTTAGTGTTTAATATAATAGGTATAGAGTTTTAGGATTGCAAGTTGAAAAAAGTTCTCAAGATGGATAGCGGTGATGATTGTTCAACAATGTGAATGTATTTAATACTGTTGAACTGCACATTTAAAAATGGTAAATTTTATGTTATATATATTTTGCCTCCATTAATAAAAGAGAAACCAGCAAGAAAAAAAAAGTTAGCAAACTAGACGCAGTTAGAGCTTTGAAAAAGTACCTGTGTGTTTTTGTTCTTGCTTCTCTGTGATCACTTTGAGAATATGCCTAAACATTTCCAAGTTAACCTGCTGGTAGGATGTGACTGACACACGGAGGACACTTGAGCTGTGGCAGCTTAGGCCATCCTTAACAAGGTAGTCCTCAGCTGACCTGCCATCTGACCACAAACATATGAAGGAGTCCAACTAAGAGCAACAAAGCCTAGCCCAGATCGGCAGAATTTCCCAGTTGACCCATTGACCATGAGGAATAATAAATGGTTGGTTTAAAAAAATTAAAAAGAAAAGGAAGGCCTTACACATTGATATCATATTTGTTCTAAGACCCCATAGAATTATGGAATCTGTAGTGCTCTGTAGTCTAATAAATGAGGACTGTATTAGTTTGACTTGTGTAATGAGCCATGCAGTAGGTCAGTAATAAAAACTGGGCAGCTCTTTAATCCTCAGCCTGTTATACCCTACTCTCTCTCCACGGTTTGACTTTTGTGTTTGCAAAAGTAAAAATATCATTTTTGGGGGGTGAATTTGTTAGAATATAAAATGTGCTTCACAAAATGAATGACATATATATGAATACGTGTTCTAGAGTCCTAGAAATATTGCCTTCTGTTTCAGGGCTGAATCCATCAGTTTGGACTTATATTTAAGCACACAGCTTATTCAGATGTTTTTTGTGCTTTAGATGAGTTTTGAGAAATCTCTTTAAGATGTGATGAGTAATAAGATGGACTGTGGGCTGGACTCATGATTCTGTCTTGATGAAACAGCAGTTAATGGTGAATAACAAGTGGGAGATTGTTTTTTGTTTTGTTTTGTTTTGTTTTTGAGGATATGTTTTTCTCTTCCTCCATCTTTGTACCTGAACAAAAGTTCTCATAACTCTTTTACCTCCTCCTAACACCATCGTTTTTTACCAACTGCCTCCATTCTGTGCCCCTCATCTTTGTTTCTATTCTACTAAAAATGTTAAATGACCAGAAGGAAGCCTCCAGAACAATTTTATTATGTAGGCTGTATGATTTTTATTATGAGTATTTATTGAAATTTTATCAGAAAAATGCTATTGCAGGTTAGTGGCCAGCTAAACAGAATCCTTTATTAAAATCTATTTTTATTTGTATATTATAGCTGTACCTAAGGAACTTGTCAAATACTTTTGTTGGGTGGGTAAAATGTTATTTTAACTCATGCCTTTTCTTCAGGATATGAGAAATAAGGTTACCTTATGCCCCACTAGATGATCAATAGTAATTTTGCTTTTTTATTTTGTTACATTAAAAGTGAAAAGGTGAGGGGCTGCAAGACAAAACTGTTGCTTTCATTAACCTCTATCCAGATATGTCCACATCCGCTAAACAAAGACATAAGAAATATCATTTGTGTAATTTTGTGACTTCAATTGTAATGGCATCCATTTTTATATTTTTAGAGATTTTGTGAAATATTTGCCCTTTTGGCTGAGGAAGGAATAGTTATAAAAAGTGCTTTCAACAAGAACCGAAGGGCACACAATTGGATAGTGAACAGTAGCGTAATTAGTAGGTCTGGGAAGAAGTGTGGAGCTCTAACATTCTACCACCTGTCTTACAACTAATATCTCCTTTCCTGTAAACCAGTGGTAGTGTGAATGCTGCAAAAGTCATTCAGGTTCATGAGAATGGAATTCTACTAGTACTAATTGCTTTCATTAAATATTGATGAAATAAGTGAGTTTGGAATCAACTGCATTTAGTGAAATAATCAAGCACATCAGATATTTGAAAATTGTACTTTGCACATATAAAATAGTTGTGATTGTTTACTTGGTAAAAGTATCTCATTCCTTGTAGTATTAAGGCTTGCCAAAATGTTTACAGTGTGATTCAATTTTCAAATATTTATTTATGCACACATTTTCAAAAATACATCTCATATATAAATGAACTCTATCAGTACAAATAATGATTATAATAGAATTGTATTAAAATTTGTCCCATAGTATACATTTTGTAAACATTACTGTTTGTTTAAATAAACTTGTGAAATCTTAGAAAACATTGTATGCATAGCTTAATGTAGAATACAAACAGATCTTATCTCCATTCTTAAGTGGATAATATAGCCTGCCTGGCTTTAAAATGTGTTGAATTATTTATGCA